AATGAAATGTGGAGTACACACAAAAGGAAATGTTACTGAGTCTAAAAAGTACATGCTAAAACATGGATGAACACTAAAAAATTATAAGTGAAATAAACCCATCACAAAGAACAAATGTTGCATGATTCCACGTATTATGAGATCCCTAGAACAGTCAAATTTGTAGAGACAAAGCAGAACAGCAGCCACCAGGGCTTGCGGGCTGAGGGAGATGGGGAAGTGTTGTTCAGTGACACCAAGTTCCAGTTAGGGGCGATGAGAAGTTCTGGAGACGGACAGCGGTGGCAGGTGCACACACCGTGGTTGTTCTTGCTGCCACCGAATGGCGCACTCAGAAATGGTCCGAGTGGCCAGTTTCACCTCATATACATTTTACCCCAGTAAAAATAAAGGTGATGAACAGTTTTGAATATCAAAAATTAGAAGTGGCTGAATAATGTATGTCATCACCCCCAGACTGATATTTACTCGAATGATGAGATAGAAAAAGGAGATAGAAGTTACTTTATCATATCTTTTGTGTGAGACCCTTGACTCAGCAGCAGGCAGGCCGCACAGGGGCTGTGGGTTCCGCGTGCTGGGACGCGAGGCCGTCAGAATTCCACCACCCACACAGTGCGCTCTCGCAGCCAGCAGGCAGGGCGGCGCCCCGGAACACTGGGTTCACGGATGACCAGGTTCACAGTCATCTGTGCTCACACATCTCCATTTCGGTGGTAGTCCACTGCTTTGACAGTCCTTGGGCAAAGAAAAAAAAATGCAAAAGGCCTGGAATCAAGAATAGCATGATGTGCTTACTGATGACAAAAATATCAAAAGCTAATTTCCTTTTGTAGAAGGTCGCCAGCTCATTTTCTCCAGCTTTAAAGAAAAACCAATCATCAACAAATGCATAATCGATAATAATCAGCACAGAAAGTTTGGAACCAAGTACTCTCAGATCTCTAGTTGACCTTGAGCAAGTCACTGAAGCCCTCTGCTTTTCTGCCTCCCCAACTCGGCCATGAACCTCATCATTTGCCCACAGAGGTGCTGGGGACTTGCCGGAGGTCACTTGTCAGGTAAACCCATAGCATCATGAACCCAGGGCAGACAGTTTGGTTCTTTCAACTTCATAGAAAATCTAAAAACGTGCCTATTCAGCAAGAATCATCAAGTGGTCATTTGGGCACAGAAAGTGGCTCCAATTATAGCATAGAAACTTTATATACAACTGGTAGCTTTCTTTGTGATGGCTTTCAGAAGGCAAAACAACTGGTTGTCGGTTGCAATATAACTCCAGTCACCGCCTCACCTCCCACGTCTCCTGCCTCCTGTTGTCCTGGTGACTTGCTGTGTCACATGCCACACATGGGGCAGTTCCTCAAAGGGGCAAGAGGGCCACTCTTTTCATTTCTTGCCAGTGCTCTTATTTTGTCTCCTATCTCATTCACCCTAGTGTGATTAAGTCTCATCCCTAAATCTAAGTCCCTATTCTGAAGAACCTCTCCCGTGTGTGATTTACAAAGGCTGCTTTGGAATTGAAGCAAGCTATCCTAATCCTTTAAATATAAGTAACATTATTGCTTTAAGAGAAAAATAATAAATATATTGGGAGGACTTTTAAACTAAAATGGTTTTTCAAGGATTCAAAGTTAATTAAAAGAAGACAATATACAAAAGAAGACCTTTTCTGTATAAGCTATAAACACACTGTCACTAACGAGTTGCATTGCAGGCAGGACAAGGCAATGAGCAGCTCAGTTAAGTTCAGCATTTAACTTAAGGCAATGGAATAGTAGCCTATGCAGTTAATGTTTTAAGTGTTACAACATTTTTACGAAGCCATTCTTTAAAAACAGACACGAGCATTAAAAATAAATGAACATAAGCAATCTGCTTTGGTTTAGACTTTGGGGTCATATTATGATTTATCTTTCTTATATCAGCTAGAGTTAATTTTAAAATATTAATCAGAAAGAATCATAGTGCTGACTACATCCTTTGCCCTAGTCGGGTGGGTTTTTAAATTACGTTACCCTATGAAGGGAAGTTTGTTTTCCATGGATGGCAAACCCAGACAAGCTCCGCCTTTGTGGTAGAGGCAATGCTGTGCTCCTGGAGCAAAATTAACATTATAATGTGCTGACAAATTCAGAACAACTGCTCTGAGTAATGAATTCACAGGGAAACTCCAGACCAAAGGAATTGGAACAATAATGACAGAAAGGAAATACCCTGCTTTTTTTTTCCCTGAAAATTGAGCTAAAAGTTCCAAGTACTTTTCATGCAGCAGTTCCAAATATCTTTCAACAGTGACCCTCCAGAATTGAAATAAAGGCAAACCAAGAGAGAGCTGAATGCCCAGTCTGTTCCTATTAGAAATACACGGTCGATTTGTATGATTAACAAGTGTTTGCTCATTAAACCCAACTGCCTGTGGCCCAGCCCTGGGGTGAGGGTACGGACTCCATGCCAGGAGCTGGGGTGGTCATGTTCCTCCACTAAAGTTTCGAGAGTGTGGTGTCCGGCCTAGGTTAAAATCTCTGCCTCACCACTTAGCAGCTCTGTGTCAACACAGGTTCCTTAACCTTTCTGAACCTGTTTTGTCACAAATAAGAGACAATAACAGATGCTGTCTCCTAGGATGAAATAGGATGGTACATCTAAAGCCTTTAGCACAGTCCCAACACGTATTAGGCATTTAATAAATCTTAATTATTTTCTTATTTTTGCTACAAGCTTGAATGATTTAACAACTCCTGAGTGCATAACTCAACTTACTATTCAAAAATTATTTAAGTGGGGACATGTCCTTATACACAAATGAAGATTGTAGAAGATTTCAAAGATTTCTTCCAGGTGCCCAGGCTACTTTTTAGTATAAATTAGAAGCACAGGGAACCATATACTTCCAGAATAAGAAGGAGAAGAAACCATGGCGTGGTCCTTAACTCTGGCAAAGACAGGTCACTGAGTCAGAAAGCACCCGAGTTCAGTTCTTAGCATGGTCAGTGTGGTGGACTGAATACTGGACACCAAAAAACATGTCTAATTCTATGTATGTATCTACAGTACACATGACTATGACCTTATTTCAAAAGAGGGTTTTTGCAGAAATAATTAAAGATCTTGAGATGAGCTCATCTTAGATTTCTAGATTTAGGGTGCACCCTCAATTAAATGACCAATATCCTTATAAAAGACAGAGAAGGAGAAAACAGACACGCCCAGAGGGGAAGTCTGCATGGAGACGTAAGCAGAGATTGGAGTGATGTGCCTGCAAAGCGTGCCAAGAGCCGTGGGAAGCCACCAGAAGCTGGGATAGAGGCATAAAAAGGATTCGCCCCAGGGTCCCTGGAAGGGATCAACCTGGCGGACCTTGATTTCAAGCTGGGAAAGAATGAAGCTCTCTTTTGCTTTAAGCCACCCATTTTGTGGTAACTTGATAAAGCAGCCCAGAGAAATGAATCCAGTCAGGAAGTTGGAAAGTTAGTGGACCTCTCTGGGGACTAATGAGATCAAGTACAGAAAGACACCTGGGCGTAATAGGCACTCAATAAATGTTAGTTGAAAACATTCTTTCTCTTGATCTCTGTAGCAACCCAATTCTGTCAGTTAAGTTTTATCGTCATTTTCTGATGAGGAAACCAATTCTCTGAAAAGCTGACCAAAATGACCCAAGACCAGGCAAGTAAATGGCAGAGTCTCTGCCTCCAGGGCCAGTAGGTCCCTTCTCACTGCACCAATGTGCCCCCTCTCTTGCCTACGGAATTTTGCCATCATTCACTGTTACTTACCACCTCATGTTACTGTACCTGACCAAACTGCAATGTGTTTGGTTAATTTACAAAATAAGATATTAGCTGAGGAGGGAGAGAAGGAGACAGTAAAAATGGAAAATAATCAGGAAGCCTAAGGAAAATGCACAACATCCAAAAAGCAGATCACTCATCTCAAATGAGGATGTTAGAGAAAGGTTTGCAGGAACACTGAAACTTTCACAGTAAGCCCTGAGATAGTGAAGAAAGCTTAAATTCTTAAATTCTTAAATTAAGAATTTTCTTGATAAAGAGTGGGTGTCACTATGGAAATAGACATCTAATTCTAATATCTCAAAGCCCACTCTGCCCTCCCAGTAATGTCAGGCTGAGGTTGAGAGCAAGACTAGCTCCAAAACTCACAAACGGCCTCAGTATTCATCGCTTATTCACTTGCAGGATTCAGGAAAGTGGGACTTTGGGAATTATTAAACAGTCTGTAGGTTTATCAAAAATGTGGAGTGTCTCGCCTTTTGACTGGTCTACATATGTTAAAATTATCTTTAACCTTTCTCAGGAATTAAAAAAATACAAGGGGATCTTAAACATAGGAAAGAAAATGCTCAAAATCATTTTAAAAGAATGCACGTTAAAACCACTGTATTAAAACTACCTTTTTACTTGGCGAAACCCAAAACATTTGTGAGAATTCCATTTTGTAAGGGTGCAAGGCAGCAGCCCTCGCCTGCGTCACAGGAGTGGAAATGTTTTGGTCCTCTGTGAAAGGCAACGTGGCAGGGTTTACCAAAATTTCAAATAGTCATACTATTTTAACCCTGCAATTCTACATCTAGGAATTTATAATACAAATATGTTCAAAGTTATTTATATTAGTGCTGACTGCAGTATTAAAAGATTAGAAGTAAACTAAATATGCACTAACAAGAGAGTGGTTTCATCATTGTAGAAAATCTATGTAACACAATACTACAGAGGTATCAAAATAAAAGAAGATCCTTTTTATGGATTGATTTAAATAATCTCCATGAAATATTGCTAAGAAAAAAGCAAGGTACAGAACGTGGCATATATTATGCTGTGTGGGAAGAATATGTATGCTTATCTTGTCTCTTAAATGCTTCACAAGAAATTGGTGACGCTGGCCACTTTGTAGAAGTAAACTGAGTGGGGATAGAGAGTAAGAGGCAGTGTGATGGTTTTGAGGCACAGCTGCAAATTCTTTGGTCCTCCTCCCAACAGGAGGTGGAGTCTGTGGCCCTTCTCTTGGACCCTGGTGAGCCTTTGCGACTTCCTGATGAAGGGAATGCAGAAGCGGTGCTGCGGGGTGGCCAAGGCTGCTCGGAAAAGGACATGCAGCATCCACAGGTTCCCCTTGGGACAATCAGCTGCCAGGTAAGAGGTCAGGCCACCAGGAGGCCACTAGTGGAGACAGCACACTCAGAGAGAGAGGGAGCCGGGGTGGGACCAACTATGACAACAAGAACCTAGGGCGGTAGAAAGGGAATGAGGAGGTGAGGAAGGAGGAAGGGAGAAAGGAAAGGAGGGACGGAGAGGGAGAGAGAGAAGGGAGGATGAAGGAGGGAGGTGACTAAGGAGCCCAGCAGCTTCAGTTTCCAGCTGTTTGAACCTTCTCGTCTCAGGCATCAGACAAGTGAGTGAAGAAACCATCTGCAGCCACCTTCTGCAGTAACTGTAAGGAGAGCTGACCCATTGACCCCCAGCTTCACTACTGAATAATAATATCATTCCTGTTTTACAACCACTGCTTTGGGGGGGATTTGCTATGCTGCAAAATATAACTGGAATAGAGGCCTCTCACTGTTTACTCTTTATATGTTTCCAACTTTACAACATGCAAATGTATTTTCTATTAAAAAAGTAAATAAAACTAAAATTATCTGCAAAAATTCCCTGGCTTAAGCTCCTGTCTGTACTTAACCCTTGAAATGGTCTGAATATTCTCTGGGACGTACTGATAAATGGAACCTGACCTGATACGAATTGAGAAGTGGCCCGAACACCAGCCACCCACCCCAGCCACTCCAAACAAACAAAAAAACCTCACTTCCTTAACAACAGAAATAATTCCTTGGCCAACAGGAGCATATGCAAACATGTTCAATCTTGTTAACATTAAACAAGCGCATCCCATTAATTACTTTCTCACTGTAAAGTGAGAAATGGGCCTTCACAAAGGAGGGTGCTGCCCTTCATCACCAAGCTTCAAGACTAGAGGGCTAATGTGACAGGACGTGCCTCCAGATACGATATGACATGAAGTGACCCACATCACCTATGAAGTCCTTGCTCCCATGTTGGGAGCAAGGACTCCCTCTGAATGTACTGAGACCTTTAGATCTAACTTCAATTTTATAGGTAATGCAGGAGATAGAAAAACCAGTTAAATGCCACCACCAGGAAACAATCAGACCAATTCTGACTATGGAACATTCTACAAGGTAACTGGTCCTGTGCCCTCCGAACAGCACTGGTGTAGAGGCCAGGACACTGCATTCTCATGCCTCATTGTAGCTGCATGTATCTCCAAAACCGTGCATATAACTGGTTAGAAAACCCCCTCTAGCCACCCTCAATGCCAATGTACATTCGCAAATAGAATCTGAGTTTATCAGAACTTACATCAAAGTGAATAATCATCCAAGAACAGACAAGGCAGAACACCATCATTTAGGACAATGCATTAAAGATTTGATTCAACCAAACTTACCTGAGTGTACTATGAGCTACCACTTTAGGTACCAGGTATTAGCACCTAGATTATAGCCAAGTCTTGTGAATATAAGTGAAGGAAAGGAAGAATTCAATCAATACCTTCATGCTTCTCTCAAACTACAATTCTTTTTTAAAGACAAACTTATTAATCCTTTGGGTTCATAAAGACTCTCCATAGCAGTGCCTTATTGTCTTACATATTTAAAGTAGCCAGAGATGAGTTACAAACTGCTGTGCTAAGAGAGTCAGTTCATTAGAATAAATTAATTGTGTATATGCAAAAACTTCTTCATTTTCTACCACCTGAGATTGTTCTGAGGTTTACTATGCCATCCAAAGTGGGACTCGAGCAGCCTAATGAACTTCACTACTTTTGTCTACAACCCCATCAGTGATGTTTCAAGGCCGTCTCATTAGTGGAAATATTTGTAGTCAACCTATTTGGGACTCCCTTGGAAAAGAAATATGCCAAGCATATAAAAAGGGCAGAGTTCCCTTACAGAACAGGTTGGTTTTTTAAAAATCAAAATGTTAAATATGAATTCAGATTAGTGCAATTGTTTCATTCTTTCTCCCAGAAAACCATAGAGATGTTACACCACTTAAGAATCTGCTGAGTTTAGCGTAAAATAATGCAAGCTTGTAAATAACACTTTGCATTGAGAGAGAATAAACATTTAGGAGAAATTAGAAGTAAAGATTATTGTCTCTATTTTTCTACCTATTAATTTTCAATCAGTTAATGCAATACAATCCAAAAACCTGTTTAGCTCTATTAACTAAATTTTAAGAAATGAGGACTCTACAGTGCTCACCCCTGGGGTATCCCATGGTTTCTGAAGACAGTGACCAGCGGCCATAAGTCAAAGAGGGGCTTCCTTCCGGGCACTGGGTAATGAGAGGAATTCATACTGAAGTGCCCCAAGAAACACTGTGTCTTACTCTTTTCCGGTGACACAACCCACTGACACCTTCCCTGCCTCCCAAGCTTCCGAATGGCTTACCTGCTCAAAACACTAAGACTTCATCTTTATTCTAGTGCATTGGCTGGGAGAATGGCCTTAAATTCTCTCTTCCACCATGTACTCTCAGGAAACAAGCAACTCACTCCTTGGGCCTTGGTTTCTTCATCTATAATATGGGGACAATAATAGTAACTCTCTCACAGAGCTGTTAGGGGGATTGAATGAGTATAACCGTGTAAAGCACTTAGACCTCTGACTAGCAATTACTCCTCTCAGACTCATTTACTGTAGAAGAGGCCATGCTAGGCACTGACATGCAATGCTATGTAAGGCTGGGTCCCCGTGGTGATCTCACAGTTCAGCTGAGGAGCAGACAGGAATGTAAGTCGTTACGCTGCTGTGCCTGAGACATCGACATAGACAGCACAGATGAATCTCTCCAATTTGCTGTAGGTTGTGCTCGGACTCCTGAAATGCCTCAGGACATCACAGGATGGAGATAGTTTGGCAAGCTCTTGAAGGATAAATCAATCTCCCCCTTGAGTCAAATGATCTAAAATCACACACATTCAGGAATTTAGTATTGTTTTCAGGTACACGACATTACATAATGCTGCTACATGGAAGGGCCAGGGCACACTCATTGCTCTCTACAGCCTTCATTTTTATGTCCATGGAGCAGAGATTAAATATTACGGCTTTATTCTGTCCTCGGGTACATAGAACCTGCCACACTGATTTTCTAGGCCCAGGACAGCGGACAAGCTGCCCCAGAGGTTTGAGCTGCCCAGCAGTTTAGATCGAACTAGCACCTTGGGAGTCATTGTAACGGCTTTCCTTGAGCATCAGTCAAATAGGATTTTCTCTTGGCTTGAGAAACGTTGCTTTGAATTTATATTATAATACCATAGCTCTTGTAACTGAGCTTCCCTCTTTGCTTCCGTGCTTGGGAAGATTGGAGGCAGACTGGCTGTCTGAAGAGCAACTATATGAGGTCATGTGCAAAAAATAATAACAAAAAAACAAGGTCACGTGCTCCTCTGTCCTCTTATGTTCTCAGCTGTATCTAACATCTTTGTTTATTTAATTTGTATGGCATACATTTTTGTAACAATTTGAAACACTCTGTGCATGAGAACAAAAGTTGTGTGTTTTAGAATTCTCGAATCATGACTAAGTCATAAGGGGGTACCCTTAAAGAGTTAATAGTACCACTCCCAAAGGGCTTCATTTCCTCCCAGAGAACTTACTCATCAACAGGTCTACCATAAAGTTCCCAGGCCTCAGATACCAGGAGGATGTATTAGAAGAGGCAAGAGGATAGCATCTTAATAAGGCTTTTTCTTGCAAAAGAGATCACTCAGACATGTCCGTCAGAGCAAACAGCCCATCTAGTCAGTCCCAAACTAGCTAGGACATGTTTGAAGGAGAGTGGCTGTTAAAGCCAACGGAAATTCTGAAATCAGTGACTTGGAGCAGGTCCACCAGCCAGCCCATCTGGACAGCCCCGGGGACCACCCCTGACAGAGGCTGGCAGGAGACAGTCTGTGATGGTGGAAAGAGTTGGAAAATTAGGAGAAACACATGCATGTACACACACCCAATAACCCTGCAATGTCTGAACAGGACAGCCACTTCTGGGAATATTTTTTAATGGACAACTTACTCCAGAATTACTCCTGGGATAAGCATGAAACTCCGAAATACCCCCATGATCAAAGAAAGCTGTTTCTATCAAATGACATCAAAATGAGGAGGAAGTAGAGCGACAACGTTATGTAGACCTGTACAGACACAAGGACACATGCCACTCCCGTAGTTACCTGCACGTACAATGCGTGCACAGAGCTCTATTTTGTGCTAATATGTTACAAATACTAACTCTTCCAACTCTTCTGAGAGGTGGGTTTTAGGTGTCATCACCTCTATTGTCAGGGGGCACAGGTGTTAACTAACTTGCTTACACCAGGTGTGTGGGTGATCAAACTGGTCTTTCTTCCCAGGTCCAGCGAACCCCTCCGTGGATCATGCAGTTGCACTCAGCCACATGAGGTGGGGGGCAGTGGGCAGTAGTAAGACTTGGAGCTACCTTAGAGACCACTGAGGAAGAAGGTATTTTCAAAAGTATGCTTTGCTGGCATGAAAGATGAATCCTATACCACCTTTCTCTATTGCTAAAATCTAACACATGGTCTTGATGGAACCTTCACATAGTCCAGGTTTGATGCCAGCCTGGAAAGGCTGCTCAGTTAGAAAGGGTGTATTCCATCTGAGACAATTCCAGTGCCTGCGCCCTAGGAGACCCTGCTGCTCACTTGCGTGAGTCACAGGCTGTGCCTGCCTGATGCCACAATCAGGAGGAAAAGTTAGCAATTCACTCAGGAACCGGAATTTAGTTCCATGGTCAAAAGTTCTGGGTTTTGGGAAACATCTGGAGGTCTGACATTGAGAGACACAGTCTGAGCCTCAGTTGCTATTTTGCTTGGTTCATGCCCCGCAGGAATCATAAGAGAGCCAAAACAGGTTGTAACAGAAAATAAAGCAACACCAACAACTCAACAGGGTGAGGCTCCAAGGGCCTTGGTTGGGGTCTGAAGTTAGGGTCTGAGACCAAAGTGACAGTGGGAGCCAGAGCTGTTGCCAGAGGTGACAAAGGAGCACTGGGGCCCAGAAGAGACAGGAAGAGGATGGAGACCAACCCAGAGGAGCAGAGGTGGGAGAGGAGTGGAGACGAGAAGCAAAAGCAGGTTGGAATGAGACCGGGGGTGGGGGGGTGGGGGGGTGGGGGAGGGGGTGGTGACGGTGCATTCGGAGAACACCTGTTGAAGGCCAGCAGGGGTGGGCGTGCTAGAGAAGGCAGGGGAAGGAAGTCGATTTTGCAAGCGCTGCGTGCTGAACTTTATTCATGCAGGTTGAGGAGCACAGAGGCTTAAGTACACATGTTACTCATTCTAAAAAATGTTCTTGGTAAAAATTGATTTAGTAATCAGCTTTCCTTTTTGCTTTTGATTTTCAGCTAAAGGGAATAAGTAGTGAATTGAAGATGACAAGTGTAAGATGAGAAAAAGGCAGCGAACATGATTTTCTGTAATTTATAATCAATACCATAATATCAGCCTCCAACAACAGTAGCAGCAGCTAACACGTGTGGGGACCAAGGCCCCAGGCTCTGAGTTCCATGCTTTGCACGCGC